ATCACAAGATTTGTGACTTCTCCAATTGCTCCTATAGATAACACCACTATTGTAGAACTTTAGATTGGTGTTTTGAGATATTTTTCAGATTTTTGCATTCTGGCAACTGACTGACCCCACTTGGACCCATGACTCTTGACTCAACCGGTCCTGTGGCCTCCACCCAGAAGTGGACTCAGCTCACAAGAACTGTTTTCCACACCCCTATGATTCCACCCTCAACCAATCAGCAGCACCTATTCCCTATCCCCTTGCCCACCAAATTATCCATAAGACCTTAGCCCCTGAGTTCTCAGGGAGACTGACTGAGTAATAACTCCAGACCTTCCACTTGGCCAGCTTTGTGTTAAACCATTTTCTACTGCAATACCACAGTATCAGTGAGTTGATTTTGTCTATGTAGCAGGAAGGAAGTACCCATCAGGCAATCATAATCTCAGAATACCACCTCCAGAGTAAGGGCATCTGACTCATATATAGCCACCCTATAAAGAGAGAGCAATAGGTGGTCTTTGGAGATCTGGGAGACTACTCACTAAATGCTCCATACATATCAAGCCAGATGACCCATAGGTCTAAGCTGAGAGTAACTTATTTCATAAGGCATAGTTCTGCTTCTCCTCCCAGCACCAGCCATTCAGAAAGATTTTTTTTTTTCTTATCTCTAGTCTGCTAAACCTTGCACATACCTTCCACATTTTTTTTGAGATTTTTTTTAATTATTATACTTTAAGTTCTGGGATATATGTACATAACATGCAAGTTTGTTACATAGGTATATAAGCGCCATGGTGGCTTCCTGCAGTCATCAACCCATCATCTACATTAGGTATTTCTCCTAATGCTATTCCTCCCCTTGCGCCCCAACCTCTGACAGGCCCGGGTGTGTGATGTTCCCCTCACTGTGCCCATATGTTTTCGTTGTTCAACTCTCACTTATGAGTGAGAACATGTGGTGTTTGGTTTTCTGTTCCTGTGTTAGTTTGCTGAGAATGATGGTTTCCAGCTTCATCCATGTCCCTGGAAAGGACGTGAACTCATTCTTTTTTATGGCTGCATTAGTATTCCATGGTGTATATATGCCACAGTTTCTTTATCCAGTCTAGCATTGATGGCATTTGGGTTGGTTCCAAGTTTGCTATTTTTGTTGGTTCCATTTTTTTGCTATTGTGAATAGTGCTGCAATAAACATATGTGTGCATGTGTCTTTACAGTAGAATGACTTATAATCATTTGGGTATATACCCACTAATGGGATTGCTGGGTCAAATGGTACTTCTGACTCTAGATCCTTGAGGAATCACCATACTGTTTTCCACAATGGTTGAACTAATTTACACTCCCACCAACAGTGTAAGAGTGTTCCTATTTCTCCACATCCTCTCCAGCATCTTTTGTTTCCTGACATTTTAATGATCGCCATTCTAACTGGTGTGAGATGGTATCTTATTGTGGTTTTGATTTGCATTTGTCAAATGACCAGTGATGATGAGCTATTTATCATATGTCTGTTGGCCACATAAATGTCTTCTTTTGAAAAGTGTCTGTTTATATCTTTTGCCCACTTTTTGATGGGGTTGTTGGCTTTTTTCTTGTAAACTTGTTCCTTGTAGATTCTGGATAATAGCCCTTTGTCAGATGGATAGATTGCAAAAATTTTCTCCCATTCTATAGGTTGCCTGTTCATGCTGATGATAGTTTCTTTTGCTGTGAAGAAGCTCTTCAGCTTAATTAGATCCCATTTGTCAATTTTAGCTTTTGTTGCCATTGCTTTTGGTGTTTTAGTCATGAAGTCTTTGCCCATGCCTATGTCCTGAATGGTATTGCCTAGGTTTTCTTCTAGGGTTTTTATGGTTTTAGGTCTTACATTTAAATCTTTAATCCATCTTGAGTTAATATTTGTATAAGGTGTAAGGAAGGGGTCCAGTTTCAGTTTTCTGCATATGGTTAGCCCGTTTTCCCAACACCATTTATTAAATAGAGAATCCTTTCCCCATTGTTTTTGTCAGGTTTGTCAAAGATCAGATAGTTGTAGATGTGTGGTGCTATTTCTGAGGCATCTGTTCTGTTCCATTGTCTATATATCTTTTTTGGTACCAGTACCATGCTGTTTTGGTTTCTGTAGACTTGTAGTATAGTTTGAAGTCAGGTAGCGTGATGCCTCCAGCTTTGTTCTTTTTGCTTAGGATTGTCTTGGCTGTATGGGCTCTTTTTTGGTTCCATATGGAATTTAAAGTAGTTTTTTCTAATTCTGTGAAGAAAGTCAGTGGTAGTTTGATGGGAACAGCATTGAATCTATAAATTACCTTGGGCAATATGGCCATTTTCATGATATTGATTCTTCCTATCCATGAGCATGGAATGTTTTTCCATTTGTTTGTGTCCTCTCTTATTTCCTTGAGCAGCGGTTTGTAGTTCTCCTTGAAGAGGTCCTTCACATTTCTTGTAAGATGTATTCCTAGGTATTTTATTCTCCTTGTAGCAATTGTGAATGGGAGTTTGCTCATGATTTGACTCTCTGTTTGTCTATTACTGGTGTATTGAAATGCTTGTCATTTTTGCACATTGATTTTGTATCCTGAGACTTTGCTGAAGTTGCTTATCAGTTTAAGAAGTTTTTGGGCTGAGATGATGGGGTTTTCTAAATATACGATCTTGTTATCTCCACATAGAGATAATTTGACTTCCTCTCTTCCTATTTGAATACTTTTATTTCTTTCTCTTCCCTGATTGTCCTGGCCAGAACTTCTAATACTATGTTGAATAGGACTGGTGAGAGAGGGCATCCTTGTCTTGTGCCGGTTTTCAAAGGGAATGCTTCCAGCTTTTGCCCGTTCAGTATGATGGCTGATAAGTTCTACATTTTTACCAGTGCACTCACATTTGCTAATGTTAACTCCCTCCCACTCTTAGCTACAACACCCCCCACATGACAATGCTACTAGAAGACAAGTGTCTACTACTACAAGAATATATATCTATAGCTCTAAATATAGGAGCACTCTCATTTTAAACAAATCTATCATAGTTAAATCTGCATTTACAAGGACATATGTTTATATATATGGACTTGTATATGTGTGTGTGCATATATATATATATATATATATATGGAATAGATTATCTGCTTTGCAAATGAATTCACCAGGGAATTCCTTAAAATAGCAGGTCCTTCATTTATCCTTCTCTTCACTGTTTCCCACATAAATGATGTCTTGCACTTTTTACTTACTGATAGCTGCTCAAGAATTTATCTATAATGTAATGTAGGTATACTGTATTTATAAAGATTAATGGAAAGCAAAATGCATTTCTTTGGAGCCGTCTCACTAATTTCTTTAATATTTCAGAGGTGTGAGTTTACATTTTGTATAGCTAGGATCTGAAACCTTATCTAGCACCACTATGAACATAAAAACCACATGAATCTTAAATACTTTCCAGAGTTCACCATGATATAACAGCATTATGCAGAAATTAGAGTCTGCAAGAGCCACTGGCTTCACAAAAGCCTTTATGGATGGAGAAAAGTGAACTAATGATGTTGTTTTGTGAAGGTTTCTAAGGCAAAAATTATACCTTTCACTCAGGTCAATAGCTTTTGGCTGGGGGTAGCTTAAAAGTGAAGTAATTCTGCCTCTGTACACAACCAATGTTAATAGACAAAAACATTAACCACATTTCTGGGAGTGGTGAAGCTATTTTTAGTAACAGTGACTGCTCTAGAAAATTTTATCTTTTGCTGTGAAATGCCAATGTGATTTTTCTCAGTCTGTAAATGGTAAGCACAATCATGTTTGTTTAAACTTAAGTTTTGTATGTTGTTTGTTTTTCTTTACCCCAGGGATTTCCTTATCTGTATGCACACACAGATGATAACAGGAACAGAGTGACCTACCCTAGTTTAGAGTAGGCTGCCAATTACCTCTCTAAAGCTAACAGCACCCATAAGCCAACAAGGATTTTATTTCATGCAATTGTTAAAGTAATTACTTTTGCACCAACCTAATAGTATTTCTTCAAAGGCTCATGCAAGCTAAGAAACTAATAAAAACAAAATGAAAACAGTAGCTCCACTCTTTAAGTCATCTTCTCCAAAAAAAAATATTGTTCCTCTACTTCCAGAAATATAATTGTTCAGGGCTCAGAAACTCAGAAGAATCCTGACTTCCTGCCTGCCTCCTGGGTCCCTAGAAACATAGACTTAATGGGAAGGAGGGACCTGGCTCATGGCAACTAAATAAGATTGGTGGGGGTGGGCAGAGGAAAGAGCATAGGACAAAGAATCAGGAAGCTTGAGATAAGATCTAGACAAACCTTCAATCCTTCTGGGACTCTGATTCTTCACTTATAAAATACAGATGATACCCACATTTTTATTGTGATCATATGAGATGGTAGATTTGAAAATGTTTAGGAAACTATTAGGTTCTTCATAATGAATGCAATGCTCTGCTTATTTCTGTGCATCTCAATTCCTATGATGTTGTAGAATATTGAGACTGAAAGTTAAAAAAAAGAGAGAAAAGACTGGGCAATACGGCTGGTTTAAACAAAGCCTTATTTGCCTCTAACTCTCCTTCTCTCTTTCACTCTACCTCCTAGAAAAAAGCAAAAGTAACAATTGACCTGAACTCTCCATTTTAATAATCACTGCATTTCTACATTTTTCAGTCACAGTCAATGTCTAAATTAGATAAACTAATTGATTACCTACTGACCAAAAGGATCTGTATGAAATCATTACCAAAATCATATAATGAAGAAATTTTCTGTTTCTAGAGAAGTTTGAAGTTAGAATCAGCACTTTTTCATTTAGCATTCATTCAACAAATATTTATTGAGTGCAAACTTGTGCCAGGCACTAGGGATTTAGAAATAAGGGAAACATATTTCCTTTCCCCATAAAGTTCATTATTCAGAGAGAGGAACAGATTTACATTCTCTTGTTTTATAGCTTAGAAACCAAAGACACAATAGTTGGGAAAGTTTGACTCTACCTGCAACTCTCCTTCCATTATACTGAGTAGTTGGATGAGGTCTTCTTTGGATAACTCCAGGGATTTCTTAGTCTTTCGTTCACTTTCTCCAGATGTTTTTAGGTGTCGTTTGATAGTTCCTGAGGCCATGACATCATCCTCCTTCCTATTTGATTTCTTCTTCTTTTTGGCCTCTTCTGAGAGACTTTTTTCACCAGCATTGCCGATGATGGAGGGCTTGGGACAGGAGACATGCCCATCAGATGAACTTTCACCACCTTGGTTTCGAGATCTCATTCCCACCTACAACACATAAAAAAAAGATAAGATGCTCTTTACCACCATCAAAATTATTTTTGCCGAAATACTTAGAGACTTATAGCAGCTTTACCACATCACCAACAATGAAAAATCAAATTAATATGTCATTAAAATTTTCAGGAAACCCCTTTGATGGTCTTCAGAAAAAATAAAAGTGAGATTTTAACCTGAAAAACCCCTCAAGCCAAATGATCAAGGTCAATATCAATAGTGCTAAGTCATATTGCTGTTACATAATCCCCATAATAATATATCAATATTGGTTCATTAATTGTAACGAATGTACTATACTATCCTAATGGAGAATGTTAACTATAGAGGAAACTGGGTGTAGGGCATATGCGTATTAGCTTTGTAATAATGTTATGAATCTAAAACTGTTCTAAAATAAAATAAAAATCAATAAAAAAACTGTTCTAAAATAAAATAAAAATAAATAAAAACAGTTCTAAGATAAAATAAAAAGTTTATTTATTTATCAGAAAATTCAGACCTGAAACTCTGTCAGGAACCAGTTGGATGTCACAGGGGGAAAAAAAAAAGTCCGCATAGAGTAGGGGCTTAGAATGGACAGAGGATAAGGGAAAAGCAAAGGGAAGAGGAGGGTGGTGTCATTTTCAGTGATATGCAATTCTATTTTCCCATAGCCTCTATTTAAAAATCAGGTCTTTTAATGTCATTTACAGTAATAAGTGCACAAAGAATTGGGAGAAAATGAATCAATTTCAAAATCAAAATGTAAAACAATATTTTGAGGTAAAATAAGGAAAAAAGACAAAGCAGCAGCTAAGATATTAACTTGTCCTATGAGAAGCACATTCAAGTCATTCTATGAGGAATACTTTATAGTTTCTCTGTCAGTCTCTGAGCAAAAAGATTCTACCAACAGGTTTGTTACAAACAAACACATTGAACTCACAGGCTAGGTCTCATAGTGCTGTGAAGAGAGCTCTAATATCCTGGGGGGTGTATTTCAAATTTTGCCTAAACCCTTAAATATAGTAGATTAGCTCATGAGCTTATTTAAAAACTCACAGTATAAATAGCCCTTACCATGAATAGCTAAGCAAAAAGATTTTCATCATTCATTCCAGATAAAATACAAGGACTTAGTTATCTGAAAGTAAATTTCCTTTATGGACCCAACCATACTTAAGAAACTAAGGAAAGATTTTAAAAAAACATTAGGTTTGTAACACAAAAATTAACACAGGGTGATGTTTCCTTTCAGATAGTGAATATTCAATTCTTCCAATGAATCTTGAAATCTACATTAATGCTCTTTTTTAAAAAATTGAACTTGTAAGCAAATGGACCCCTTTATGTATGTGTGAACTTTCTACAGCACCCCAGCTTTTAACAATATAAACCAAAGGAATGTTTCTTGACACTAGCACCCTGTTTTCTGGTTCACTCAATGATTAGTTCCCTATTTTAGAGTATCTTTTGGGTTTCCCTAGTCAACAAAGAATAGAAGTTTCTTTGTAATGGAAGCCAAAGCACTTTGGAACAAACCTACTGTATTTTATCACAGCTTACTTGTGGGCAGAATGGGCTGACTAAAGCCCCAATCCAAAAAAAAAAAAAAAAAAGATGTGATGAATAAAGAGTTTCAAATTTAACTCATGACCTGTTATCGCTCACAGCTAAGACACATGGACTTCCCAAACTGAATTGTGATTCTGTACGACTTCATACCACATGTGAATTCCTTTTACCTGAAATAATTTTCTCTATAAGATCTTAAAGCTCTTTGAGATGGCATATCAAATATTGATTTGACAACTTTAATTTAAATCATTAAATCATGAGTTAATAGAAATCCCAGACAATAGTTCCCAAAGCACAGGAAGTGCTTAATCTTACACAGTATTTAAATCTGATTGTATTATGTTACATGTATTTACTCAATCACAATTATATCTGCAAACATACAGAAAATAGTCTATTAGTATCAATTTTGTATTTAGTTCTTTCTAAAAATTTCAGTCTGAAATTAATGTTTTAAAATAAAGTTTATTATAGTATTATATTAATGACTTTTACACAAAAAAATCCACCCATTTTAGAATTAGGTAATTATTTTATATCATTATTCATTTAAAAAGTTTAAGTTTCCTATTCCCTTCCACATTAATTCACTTTGGCTGATGGAAAATCTCATGTGGTAGACCCATGATGTTAATTTTGTCTTAACAAATATTTTTCTTTTGTGATATTGAAATTTCACATTAATTACTTTTCCTTTGGCATGAACATAAAGATTTTTAGTCCTTTCTCGGTTAGATAAATGAGGTCTTCTATCTTCACAATAAAGTCAGCAATCAGCACCTGTACTATGTCAGGAATACAAAAGTACTCAGCAATAACAAATGAATCAAGAATGTTTTAGCAAGGAATTAGCATCTATGCGAAGATACACATAATTTCTCAGTAGAATAACTAAGTCTGTTATAAATAATGTACACTTTAAAAATGCTTTATTCTATTTTGGAGGGAGAAAACATCCAAGCAATAATGGACTTGCATGTGTCTCATTTAGTGACATTTATATTCTTCATATTTTTAATAGCTCTCACTTACTGCTTCTTAAGTGTTACATCGTATAGGAAACATTTTTCATTCAGCACCTTGTTTAATATTTACATCAACCCTGTGAAGTAGGTGCTATTTCTCTCAGGTTTATAGATGAAGCTAATGAGGTTTAAATAAATTAAATATCTTCTCCTGGATCACAGTTACTCCTAGTGGATAGAAAAACTAGAATTTGAACTCAAGTTGGACACGAAATACTACCCCACTATACAGCTTTCCTTACAGCTTTCCTCTAAGTTCTTAAACATATGCTAATTGGAAAAAGGGGCGAACCCTGATAAATCAGGGGATCAAGAAAAAGTTAGAGGCCAGGCGCAGTGGCGTGTGTGTAATCCCAGAACTTTGGGAAGCCGAAGCGGGTGGATTACCTGAGGTCAGGGGATCGAGACCAGCCTGGCCAACATAGCAAAACCCCATCTCTACTAAAAATACAAAAATCAGCTGGGCATGGTGGAGTGCACCTGTAATCTCAGCTACTAGGGAGACTGAGGCAGGAGAATCACTTGAACCTGGGAGGCAGAAGTTGTAGTGAGCAGAGATCGCGCCACTGCACTCCAGCCTAAGCGACAGAGCAAGACTCCATCTCAAAAAAAGAGAAAAAGCTACAAATGCTAAGAAGTTTTCTCACTTCACATAACAAAATTTGAGAAATCCACGTATATGTCTTCCTCCAAAGACACTCTTGCAACACTCGCATAGCAATTTAAATTAGGTTACTAAGCAATGCTATGTTTTCTGAAATAATTAACCTTCTGCAGAACTTCTAAGATGATGAATCATTCAAAAGTCTTCCTGAGAAGTAATCTGGTCAATTACTAAGGGTACAGTTATGAAAACAGGATGTAAAGTCTGAACAGGAACAATTACAGACTTATTGTGTTAAAAGCCCTGGAGCTGAACAACAGTAAACACATCATCAGTGTTGGCCAAATCCTGCCTATTGTGCTTACAAGGGTAGCAGGCAGGTAACAGAAAAGGCATCCAGAACTCCTTAGGCTTCTTAATAGTTGATTGCATGGCTGCAAGTTTAAGACGTGTAGATAACATTTTCTGAAAGAAGCCAAGAAGGCCTTCGAATCATCCCAGTGTATATCCTTTAAAAAAAAGTTCTCCCCAAGAAAAATATATAAATAAACTGAAGATTCATATCAGGTTTTATAACCCTTTTAAAAAAAATCAGTGTCAACTGGGGCACAGATGCTTCTCTTTGATAAGCAAATTATCTTAACATAGTTCATAAAATATACTTACTTTTCCTTTCATAGTAGTCAACAATAATTTACATGGAATTTGCTAACTACAGTATGAAGAAAAGAAAGATCAAATGTTATTCTGAACCTCCCCCTTTTATCCACAGTCCTCTCTCCCTTTCATCTGCGCCTCCCTGCCCCCTGCAGCCTCCCATTAATTGGGCAATGCCAGAGCATACTGTCAGATGAAAAATATCACAGGAATCAGAAAATGTAAAGCTTTTTAGTCATTTATGCTGAACTACCAAGTATTTCTAGAGCATTTGAACAGGAAAAGAAAAAAAAGGAAAAGAAAAAATGTCTACGGAAATTCTAGTTCCCAGACTTCCTTAGCTCTTACAAATCCTGACCTTGAATTTTCTCCCTAGCACTCTCACCTTTGCTCTTGCTCCTTTCCAGATTTATATTTTCCTGTTATGATTCAACATTGGTCAAAATACTCCCCACCCCACCACCAACAAAAACTTCTTTTCTGTATAAATTCGGTTTTGGCATCTTTGCTATGCTTCTCAGGTATCCAACCCCTATCTGTTCCCGGTTGTATTTTATCTAAATATATTTTCAAGAACCTACCTAGTGCATAGAATGAGATGCCATAATAATTTTATATATTTAATTTCTATTTTAAAATTACTTCATAGAATTATGAGGAAAAATTATCATAGTAAAAAAGGAAAGTACATAATTACAGAAAAGCCGAGATTTTACAAGATGGCCTGGCAAAAGGCCTGCTGCAAGTGGAGCTTCCAGAACATTACCACAGAACTGTCCTGACTCTTTCTCTTTCACATAAACGACAATACCCAAAGCACCCAAAACTCAAAAAGAAAACATCTATTCTAGTTTTATGTCATCAGTGAATTTTCAGATGCAAAAGATCAATTAAATCAACTAGTTTATTCCCTATCAATGCCAGATTACTTCCCGTGTGTTATCTTATTGGTTAAATCTGCATATAAATATCCCAACTCATGAAATGTTCAAATATTTCTCATGAGGTTATCACATATTCTATAGTGTATATTGCTCAGAAATGTTCCCAAGTTTGCCTCTAAATTTTCCTTTCTTCTCTTCATCCTATTTATGCAACAAGCCATGTTAAATATTTGTTTTACTTCTCATTACCTACATTTATTA